GCTAGCAATGAACTATGCTTTTCTGTTTAAGATGGCTGACCTCGCAAGTAAAGAGTAGACCCAGGCAAAATAAAGTGCATCCCAGCGCTCAGTGCTCGCTGAAGTGAAGTGCTCTCGTGTGTAACACTTTGCTTCACTGCTCCATACTCGCGTATAACCTTGTGGACGCAATTTACCGAATCTCCAGCGGAGATTTTTAATCGGGACGCTCTCCGTCCAACGCCACGAAGATGTTTTTATCAGGTTCTTTGTATCGCAGGAAGACGTTGTAGTTCCTCCAATTGAAAATGTTCACGGTTTTCCGTCTGATTCGCTTTAACTGCCAGGATTAATCCTGAAATACGTTCAGAGCGTTGTCCTTTCACGCTGTTCGGTCGTTAGCGCGACAGTGTACACTAGGTTTAGCATCACCTGGTATCAGATGTTGATTTTGGAGCATTTTATTTGGAGTCTCTCAAATATAAACTGATCGACTGATTAATTCCTCCAGGAAGCCGATCTGCTTATTTGACGCGATAAGCTTTTTGGTTTACTCTTTTTTTTTTAAACTATAAAATGTTCTATATTTATAGCTGTTACGAGCCCAAACACCAACCCAGAACATTTGCACACACTATTTTATTCACCCTCATCCTTGAGTTAATTACACTCTTATTGTCTGAACCTGTCCGAGTACCATGAAGTGGTGGAAATGAATATTTATGTGCACCGAGGAACATGCGTTTCAGATTAGGCGACCGTGTCTACAGTCAGATCGATACTGAATAGCCGAGCATCTTTTCTCGCAGACGTTAATTGCGCTATTTTAATAATTCATACGCAGAAATGAAATGGCTTCCTTGGAACGTTCTAAAAAGGTTGTAAAGATGGGTTTCTGATTGAACCGGAGGAGAACGAGGTGGGGATGGGGTGGGGTGGGGCATCTATAGTCTTAATGACCATAGACTATATATGTGGAAAAGGTGCTACAAATAAATGAAGTTTTTGTGCAAAACTTTGTATTTGGAGCAATACACTGTTCCCTCCACCCTGATTATAGCCCCAGTTCCAGCTGAAGAACAGCAGCCCCAAAGTACCATGCTGCCACCATCGTGCTTCTCCATGGGGATGGTGTTCTTTTGGTATTATGGCCAAGAAGTTCTACTTTGGTCTCATCAGATCATTATTAGACATTATTCCACATGGTTTTGGGAGATTGGATGTATTTATTTATTTTTTGTTAAAATGGCTTCTGTCTCGCCCCGGTACCCCAAAGCCCAGAGATACGAAGAATTATTGTCACATGTAGGGAGCAACCAGTTACTTTCCTGAAATTATCTCCCACAATTCTTTTACTGTGGCCGTAGGCCTCTCTGCAGTCTCCCTGACCGGTTTCCTCCGGATCTTCTCATCAGTTTTAGAAGGACGCCCTGTTGTTCGTAGTGTCACCGTCCTGCCATATTTTCTCCACGTGTTAATTATTATCTTGACAGTGTTCCATGGTATATCCAATGCCTCGGAAATTTATCGTAACCCTCTCCTGACTGATATTTTTCAACAGCGAGCTCCCGTACCTGCTTTGTAAGCTCTTTGTTGCCCGTGGCTTTTCCAGCTGGATGTTACCAAGGAGATATCAGGAGAATCCTATAGGAACAGCTGGACTTTATTCGGGGGTAATCAGCCACTTTAATTGATGGTGGGTGTACACTATTTAACATGAATTTGAATGGGATTGGTTGATTCTGAACACTGCCACATTCCCAATTATAAAAGGGTGTGCGCACTGAAGCAAGCTGGGTATTGGAAGTTTTTCCTTTAACATAAAAAAAAAAACAAAGCGGGGAAGAAAAACAAAAACAAACAACAAAAAAACCACCGTCCACCCTTTTTGCATGATTTCAAATTTCCTCAGTCAGATCTCCGATCCAGACACGTTTTTATTTATTCTTTTTGTAAGCACATCGACCATCATGATGGATTCTAGACAGAATGTTGGGAAAACGCTAGCGAGGTAGGTTTTTTTTTTTTCTTTCAGCAGGCAACATTAAGAAAACAGTAAAGCAAAAGTTCGTTGTGATGCATTTGAATATCTTAACAACATTTTTACTTTTTCCTAACCAAAGAAACCACATTCCCACCACCCTGTTTTCTATTGGCTCATAAGACCGAGGCTGATGAGTACAGACCAATACTGACCTTGAATAAAGTCAGCGAGCACATGTGCATCTTTCACATCCTGCGTCCTTTCCCCTTCGGTGAATTGGCTTTTTTCACTGCAAGCACTAAGAATGTGCGTTTTTTTTATTGTTGTTGTTGTTTTTTTTTAATGTTCTCCAAGCTCAGCTACATTTCACATTTTTGCTCAATTCACCAGTTTCCTGTTGAAACCAGATGGAGAATGGGGAAAAATTCTGATACTAAAAAAAAAAATTCAAACATCTTGCAATTAGTCACACTGATCCCAGCTCTAATACGTCCATCTTAAATGAAACACTAACTTGGTACTTCGTGTTCTTGTCCT